CACTTTTCACTGTAAGTCTAGGCTGGCCAGGCTTAGACCCACAAGGAAAGGAGTTTTACAGGTTTGCTGTTTTCCAAGCTGCAGCCCTTAGAAGTCTCTGGTACAGATACAGAGACACACACAGACAAATCGACAGGACAAATACAATGCAAAGTGACAGAGTGCGCACTTAATGACAGAGAGAGAAGGAGCTAGAGGCTTGTTAGAAAACCTTCAACATAAATTGGCTATTATTATTATTCTGAAGGGGGAGGAGGGGGGAGGTTTGGGAATTTTTAAAGATCCAAGACCTGAAAGTGTAACTGGATCTTGCAAGCCTTACTCAGAGTGCCCCTGAGGTTGCATATTTAAAGGGGCAAGTCCCAGTGAAGTTAAGTTTGGGGATCTGAGTCCCCTTGAGGACCATAGCCTTTAAGGGAAAAGGGGGGGGGGAGGGATTACTCTGAGACTGGGAAAGAGTGCTGAAGCAGCTTTGTGAGCCTTAAGGGAAGAGGCTTCTGCCTTTCCTTCTCCCTGGGCTATCTCAGCCCAGTGATGAAAGCATTCCCACTCCTGGCTAGATGTTTTGTTGGCCTTTAAACTTCATTTGGTTTTAAGATAAAGTAACTTTGACTGCTCAAAAGAACCCCTATTGTGCTCAGCATAATTTGGGGTTATCTTTAGTTAACTGACATCATCACTGGCAGTACTTGAGGTCACCAGATTGGCAATGGCTTTACATATAAGAGGAGGAGGTCTTGTTAGCCGGATTTCTAGTTTTAGTTTCTGATTGACCCATAGCCAATTTCTCTACATCAATCCTTACCAGAAGGGACCTGATACAGCATACAGAGTTTCTGAACCTCGACTTGATTCCCGACCCCAGAGCTAGCTTAAAGGGAATTTTCTTTCAGACTTCAACCAAAGCAGTGGGAGGTCCATGGAAGCTGGGAATAGGAGAAGCTTACTGGATCCCGTCAAGGTTAGGACTCCAGGAAAAAAAAAAGATCCTGAGGCTCCTGAGCCACTAGCATTGCTGGGGTAGGGTGTTTTCTCCTACTTCTTCAGTTCCAATCCAACATCATGGCACCATTACTGTTGACCTGAAAGTTGGTTAAAAAGACAGCAAGCTAGCTGATAAGTAGATTCATATTGTTTTATTCCCTCAAGTTAGCAGTGCATGTATATGGAATCAGAGCTTTAACTCTGACTGACTCAAGCAGTTTTGGAGGACATTTAAACCCTGACTCAGGATGTCTCTGTTACTAAAAAAAAAATACAGCCTCCATATGTTTTTTAACATATAGCATGGGAAAGGAAGTTTCTTAGTTGAATAGGTTGTAAACACAATAAAATAGGAGAATGTCAAATGTCGATTGCATTATAGATCCAGGATATCTGTGTTTCCCCTTCATAACATATGTCCATAGGATGCAAAGATAAGAAAAGTCCCAGTATTCAAGAGAATGTCTGGTCCCAGGTATCCTGTGTTTAGTGATCACAAACAGGAAGAATGCTGGTCAGTTCCATCTGGTCCTGTAGTAGCTGACACAGGAAGAGGCATTTTTAGTTCACTTAGAAAAGATTAATTCAGGTTTTTGGCCCTTTCTGGAGTTCAATTCATCTTAAATGATTATCAGGGTCATGTTGAGTTGTTAAAGGAAGATAAAAAGCAAGATCCTCAATGAGAGTGTTTGGGTAGTGACTAGTCAATAAGCATTTATTAAGCCTCTAAGGATGGGGTTGGGATATGGGCCCCAGAAGGTAAAAACCCTGGACTTTTCCACTTGGCCAAATCTCTGGCATTCACTGAGGCAATAATCCCATCAACTGGCCTTTCATTGTGGCTACACCCAATCTCCCCTCCATTGTCTTACCTCCCTGTGGCCCCTGGCCATTTCCCATTGTTCAGGTCCCAAGAGTTCTGTTCACCCCAGTTTACTGTCCACTCCCATCCAGATCTCCTTAGGCCACTCCTCCCATCACCCCAAACTACTTGGCCACTCCTAGATCCCTCCCACAGGCTTTTGGTATATAAAATCCATCTTGTCTCCATTAAGATGGTGGGATTCTTATAATCTAGCCACTGCTCAAATTCCTAAAATCTAGCCACTGCTTAGATTCTTATAATCTAGCCATTAAGCCAATAGTTTGTTAATGTTCAGAGTCCTTAAGAGTCTGCCCAATATGATGGATGTTCTAATAAACCTTGTCTTTGGCTGAGAGAAGGCCTGGGTAGAACTCTTTTGGGCAGGATCTGTATGTTTTGATTTTGGTGTCCCAGTACCCCTGAACCTTTAAACCACATCACTAATATGTGCAGGCACTGTGTTAAGGCCTGGGAATTCAAATAGAAAAGAAGACTGTCCTGTCCCCATAGCATTTACACTTTCAAGGGGAAGACAATACACCAAAGGAAGAGATTTTGGGCAAAAGACACCAGAGTAAAGGACATGGTGGGAAAGCTGTCAGAAGTTCCAAAGTAGTGCAGCCAGGTGCAAAATATGGAGATATGGGAGCTGACTCTCTCCTTATGTGGAGGATGGAGTACATGAGCTCACCCCAAGGTGGGGAGGAGAGAATGTGGGAGGATGGAGAACTAAAGAGATGTGAAAGTGCCTCTGTTAAGAACAAGATAGGCTTGGGATCCAGGGCCACCATCCCCAGGCAGGGCCCACCCTCACCCTATAAGGCCTAGCCAAGACAGACATGGGACCAAGCACACACAGATTGGGAGCTGGGTCTCCTATGCCTCCCTTCTTTTCCCTCCCTCCCCCACTTCGACGCCACCAGACTTTTGGTTTGGTGTCACAAACTCTGGAGGCCCCCAGCAACGGGTTTGGAATGTCCTTGCTACTTCTCCTTTTCAGATTGGGGAAATAAACTCTCAATGTAGACAAAAAAAAAAGAAGGAGAAGAACAAGATAGGGATGCAATAGATTACCATTATCCCTTCCACACTACAACTTTCTCCATTTCAGTTCCAAATAGCATTTCGACATAAGAAATTAAATGGGAATTTTGTGGAAACCACAGATGACACACAAAATCTAGCAGATGACATGGAGCTATGACTAAACACAATCCAATTTTTAAGGTACTGTGAACATCCTTTAAAAGAGTTCATACCTCTTCTTTGGTACTAAAGGAGGGCCAAAACATTTTATGCAGATTTTCCAGATTGCCAGGGTGCTGCACCCCTAGCCTGTGTCTAATGGAAGGTGTAGCTATAATTGTAAATTGATGAAAGGATGGCTTTGGGCTCAGTGATTGTTAAGAGTATGAATGAAGACAATACCATAAAGAATAATGACTAAGGAGACCCAGCTATTGATTCTTGGGAATCTCAAATATTAGGAAAGGTCTAATAAAAGTCTAATAAGTTCTTTAATTGCTCAGAAGTTCAATAATAGAAATAAAGGAAGCTACAAGTAAAATATAGATTAAAATTTAACACAAATCATATTTTTATAAAGAAATCAAAGTAGCAAAAAAGTGAAAAGAGATTTTTATCTACAAGAAAGAGAATTGTTCCAAAATAATGGAACTTCTGAAAAAGTAAATCTTAACATTCTGCTAGAAATGAAGAGTATCAAATGCCAGGTGCTTTGGCCAAACAGGTGTTCTCCTGGTATCAGGTTTGAAAAACAGATGACCCCTCCCAAATATCAAAGGATTTGCAGAGCTGGCTGCTCTCTTGTGTGTTATCCATCAGTTGGCCTCTTGAGTCCTCATCCCAGTCTTCTAGATTTCTGGAAGCAGGTTTAAAGAATTGTTTTTCATAAAGAATCTGTCAAAGTCTTTGCTATGCCTTAGCTCTAACCTCAGTCGATAAAATATTACATCTTTAATGAATGAACCCTACTTTCCCCACAGTTACCCTTTATTCTCTATAATTAAATATTAAAATGAGTGAAATGTGGGGATTAAAAATTGCCCAACCTAAAAGAAATTGAGGTAGAGCTCTGACCCAATGGCACTCGATGAAAGGGTCCATGGCCTTCTCTAATGAAACGGACCTCTCATCATCTTCAGTATCTGAGATGCTCCCTTCCTCCTGGACCTTAGATTGGTACTGCTTGATATGCAGACAATAACGGTAGAGCTGACCAGATTTTACATGTGTTTTACATTAAAGGTAGATCTGCCCTCAGCTGGTCAAACATTCCAAATTATCCTCCTGGGATCTGACTTGAAATGAGACCACATTCTGTAAGGTATAAGAAGTTATGTTTCTAAAGGTGTAGAGGAAGTGGTACTAACAACAGAATTCAGAAGTCTCACAGGGGCAGAAGGAGCAGTCTTACTCAAGAATTATTTTTAACAATTTTTAATAGAGGCAGAGAAAAACCTGTTGACATTAGTAGTCTGGTTACTAGTACTGAAAAGTAGGACAAAGGATACAAATTACTCAAAATGCATGTGCTTAATAGATCTATGAATATTATCTTCTCGGGGGGGGCAAGGGTTAACATAATTTTAGGCTAATGTTGTATATAGAGGGAGGGACTTGGCCTTTCTGGACAGGAATAGAACTGCTTACTTTAGCTTCTGTAGGGTGTGTCTGCCTCTAGCAGCACACCAGCTTCTTGCAAGCACATATAATAAAAAAGCTTGCCTCCTCTACCTCTGGAGTCTTTGTTTTTTCTGTAGAAGTTATCCTGAAGAATTCTAATTTAAATTAGGAGAAATGTGCTAATGAAACCGATTGCATTTTGTGAACAACCTCCATTCTGAAACTAAACTCTGTTTTGCTGTGAATCACTGGAAATCGGGATTGTCTGGAAATCTGCAGGCTGCCTGTTCCTTGCTCTCCCCCTTCCACCTTCTAAAGTCCCGAATCTTTCCTCCAATAAGAAATCAGATGATGGAGGCATGGAGGAGGAGGAGCTCTCTGAGAGAACCAGTATGGTGGGTGGTGGCTCAGATGGAACAGGAGCTCTGGGGTGGAGTTTGGAGGCCTGGGAGGAGTCTAGGGCGGAAGAGGGCTCATTCCAGTGGCTAAGGCATTTCAGGTGATGGAGGGCAGCGCTTGTGGAGGAGAGGCAGAAAGGGTCCTCAGCACTTGGTCCTGGGTGTGATTGGAAGACACAGCCCTTCCTGGGGGCCTCAGAGGCTGGGCAGAGGGTGGGAGGACCCTCCCAGAGTGGGCTGTCTGAAAACAGGAACATTTGTCGTGAGATTGCTCTGCCTTCTTCCCTTGCAGCTGAACTATTTCCGCCTTCCCTGCCACTGAGATCTCTCTGCCTTCCTTCAGAGCTGAGATCACGCGGCCTTCACTTGGATCTGAGATCTGTGCCTTCTGGACACCAGCTGTGTGGGGGCAGGTCCAAGGTAGGTCTGAGCCAGCCCCACACAAATCCGCTGGTTTCTGCTGACTGTTTATACTATTGGGTCTTATCCTTGTCCTCTGACCATGCGGTGAGTGCCCTCCAGGTCTGCCTGGAGCAATCCTCCCCACCTAGCCTGGCTGCTGGAAAAGGTTCTCACTGCTAACTCTTCTGCAGACTCCCAATCACTTCCCATAGGTGTGGGGTCACCCTCCCCAAATTTAAGATTACAAAATCGAAACCTTATCCACAGGGACCCAAGAATGTTATCTTGAGTGAAAGACAAGTGAAAGGCTTGAGTGAACCACGAAATGCAAGGGTAAAGGGTGTGAATCTACTTCAAAAGAATTGGAGCACTCAAGCCTTCTTTCAGACCCAGACAAGGTTAATTGTGTAACCAATAGAGCCAGGGTAGATTTTAAGAATCTGTGCATTTGGTAGGGGCAAGACTGACTTTTTTATAGGGTAAAAGGCTGTGGGAAGATTTGGGGTGGGATCTAGGGGTGATAAATAGCTTGGGCTAATCTAGAGGTAACAGAAAAGGGGTCTAGATGGATTAAGGGGTGGGAAGTAGTCTGGGATGATCCAGAGGTAACAGACCAGGAAGGGACTGTTGAAAGGATTATTGAGTAATCTAGGTGGGGATGAGTGGGAAAGTTCTGGAGCTGCATTGCTCTTTTGGGATCCAGGTCCCATACCCCATCAGAGGGAGATCCCTGATTCAGGAGCCATTGAGGCTTTGACTGGTCTCATCCCATCTGGGATTCCAAGCCTCTTCTGCCTCTTGGTTCTCTGAAGGAGAATGGGGGAAAGGAAGGGGACAGAAGAGAAGGAGTTGGAGAGGGTGTGGCCATCTTTTTCAAGCCTGGCCCTACCTGTCAGTTGCAGTTTCTGCCCTGAGGGCAAGGCCCCAACCCCTGTGAATTCCTGTAGGCTAGCCTCCTGCCCTGAGATTGTTCTCCTTTCAGAGCTCAGTGTGCTGAAGACCAAGGCCTGGCCCAAGCGGCAAGCCACTGAACAGAGGGAATGGCCACCGGGAACTCCAGACCCCTACCCCAGGTGAGTGCACTCTGTCTATAGACTTTACCAACATCAACAAAGAGGCCGTTTCCACAGACAAAGGATGGTCTCTGAGGCTGGGAATCCCCTATCTATGGATTGTTTCTTTACAAAAATAGGCAGGAAATTGAAAACAGTAGTAACAACAGCACCCTGTTGTCTCCTTCTGTACTTTGAATTGATTCATGGCACTTTGGCATCACAAGAACTAACCAACCTCCAACCCCCCTAAGTTCTTTCCTACCTGTGTCCTTTTTTTTTTGTTGCTGTTAAATTTTCCCTCATGATCCCTGAGATGCAGGGAAGATCACTTCAGTCATTCCACTCTGTTCTGTAGGGGTCTTGTGTTTTTGCTCCTTTGCAGAAACAGTTGAAATGTCTGGTGTACACTCGTGTCTTGGTAGCTAGATTGACTTTCAAGGGCACACTGAGAGGGCAGTGAGGGTTGAAAGGAGCAAATACTGTGATCTGGGGCTGGGGATGTTCCTGGCCTCCTGTATCCTCTGGTCCAGTGTTTTCAGGAAAATATGGTAACTCAAGAAAATAGGTGAAGTCAGCATCAGGGTCACATTCACATGTTCAAAAACCAGAGTTATTTGGACCAGGCCAAAGAAAAGGGTACCTTCTTTAGCTGTTAATTGATTAGCATTTGTTAAGGACCTACTACTTCCCTTGTTAGAGAGTATATAGGAAAGGGCTGAGTTTGGAGAAGTATTCAGAGTTCTGGCAGTTTTTTTTTTCTGATGAGTGAAAGGGGGGTAGTGAAGAAGACCGTTCTTATCAATGAGGCAGCAGGCTCAAAGGCAAAGACATAATAGAGTGACTTACTTTCTCCTGAAAATCCACTTTTCACCATCTTTACAACAACCCTATGTAGTAGGTGTTCTTATCTATTTCACAGTTCAGGAAACTGAAGCAAACAGAAGTTCAGTGACTTACCAACCAGGGTCACCTAACTAGTAAGTGTTTGAGACTGGATTTGAACTCAGATCTTCATGATCTCCTACCATTTCATGGCTCCATCAACATTGTATTAATGTGCCCATCTTCCCACAACTCCTCCAACACTGACTGGGGCTATTTGTCATTTTTGTCAATTTTTCAGAATATGAGATGAAACCTCAGGGTTTTGCTTTTTATGTTTGCCTTATTAGTGGCTTGGAGTCTTCTTTCATGTGGTTGGGAATACTTGGGAGTTCTTTTGAGAATTTTTTGTTCCTGTCCTTTGACCATTTATCTATTGGGGAACGGTTATTTGTTGTTTTTCGGTTGCTTCAGTCCTGTCCTGACTCTGATACTCATTGGCATTTTCTTGGCAGAGAACTAGAATGGTTTGCCATTTCTTTCTCCAGCTCATTTTACATGGGAGGAACTGAGGCAAACATGCTTAAGTGACTGGCCCAGGGTCTCATTGTTAGTGTTTGAGGCTAAATTATAACTTGAATCTTCCTGACTCCAGGCCTGGAGCTCTATCTACTGTGCGACCTAGCTGCCATTGACTATTAGGCTTTTTTTAAATAATATTTCATTTCCCCCCATTTTTCCCCAATTACATATAAAAACTTTTTTATTCCTAAAATTTGAGGTCAAAATTCTCTACCTGCCTCCTTCCTCTTACCTCTCCTGCATTTGGTAAGCAACCAGAAACAGGTTATACATAAGCAGTCATGTAAAGTATTTCTGTATTAATCATTTTGTGAAAGAAAATTTGAACTGTAAAGAAAGTGAAAAATAGTATGCTTTAGGTTTGTATTCTGACTGAATTAGTTTTTTCTATGGAGGGGGAATGCATTTTTCATCATAGGTCCTTTGGGATTGTCTTGGATCATGGTATTGCTGAGGATAGCTAAGTTACTCACTGTTCATCATATAGTATTGCTGTTACTTTGCACAGTATTCTCCTGGTTCTGCTCACTTCACTCTGCATCAATTCATGGAAGTTTTTCTAGGTGTTTCTGAAATCATCCTGTTTGTGATTTCCTATAACACTATAGTATTCTGTCGCAATCATATACTAAAACTTGTAAAGACATTCCCTCAATTTCCAATTCTTGGCCACCGCAAAAAGCTATTACATAGGTCCTTTTCTCTTTTTTTAAAAATCTTTTAAAAAATAGTTAATTTACTTTTAGTTTTTAACATTGGCTTTCATAAGATTTTGAGTTTTAAATTTTCTTCCCTTCCCTCTCCTCCCTCCTCCCCAAGATGGCATGCAATCTGATATAGGCTCTACTTATATGTTCATATTAAGCATATTTTCACTTTAGTCATAATGTGTGTAATGATTTTTTAAAAGTCTTTGGTGGATACTGACTTAGTAATACTATTGCTGGATCAAAGGGTATGCACAGTTTTATAGCCCTTTGAGTATAGTTCCAAATTGGTCTCCATAATGGTTGGATCAGCTCACAAATCAACAACAGTGCATTATTGTCCCAGTTTTCCTACTTCTCTCCAATATTTATTATTTTCCTTTTCTGTTTTATTAGTTAATTAAATAGATGTAAGGTGGTAACCCAGAGTTGTTTTAATTTGCATTTGAGAATTTTTCTATGACTATGAATACCTTTGATTTCTTTGTCTGAACTGCCTGTCCACATCCTTTCACAATTTATTAATTGGGTCATGACTTGTATTCTTACAAATTTGACTCAGTGCTGTGTATACTTGAGAAATGAGGCCTTTAGCAGAGATAATTGCTGTAAATTTTTTTCCCAGTTGTCAGCTTTCCTGCCAATCTTGGTTGCATTGATTTTGTTTCTGCAAAAAACCCTTTTTAATTTAATACAATCAAAATGATTCATTTTGTATCTAATAATGCAGTTTATGGGTAAGTTCATTCCATTCATATTTATAGTTATGATAACTAACTGTATTTCCCTCCATCCTGTTTCCCCTTATCTCTCTTCCATCTCCCTCTCTGTCTTTCTTCCTGTCCCTTCTCCCACCTTTTATTCTGTCTCCTCACCAGGGTTTTGATTCTAACCAGTGCCTCCCCCAATTTTCCCTTCTTTCTATCAGTTCCCCCTGCCACTTTTTACTTCCATATAGGATGAGATAGACTTCTATAACCATCTGAGCATGTATGTTATTCCCTCCTTGAGCCAATTGTGATCGGAGTAAGGCTCAAACCCTCCATTTCTACCACCCCCGTTCTTGAATATGATTCCATCATAGTCAATGTATACTCCTTCTAATTGCCCTAATCATTATAAAAGACTTAAGAGTTACAGGTATCATCTTCCAATGTAGGAATAGAAATAATTTAACCTTATTGAATCTCTTCTGTTTTCTCTTTCCTGTTTAGCTTTTGATGCATCCTTTGAGTCTTGTATTTGAAGATCAAATTTTTTATTCAGCTCTGGTTCTTTTCCTTAGGAATGTTTGATTATCCTCTATTGAATGTCCATTTTCCCCCCCCATGAAGAATTATACAGTTTTTCTGTGTATGTGATGGTTGATCATAATCCTAGTTCCTTTGTCTTGCTCAATATTATATTGCACACCCTCTGATTTTTTAAAATATAAAACCTATTAACTTTTGTGTTAGCCTGACTGGGACTCCATGACATTTGAGTTGCTTCTTTCTGGTTGCTTGTACTCTTTTCTCTTTCACCTGGAAGCTCTGGAATTTGGCTATGATAGTCCTGGGAGTTTTCATTTTGAGATCTTTTTTAGGAGGTGATTGGTGGATTCTTTCCATTTCTATTTTACTCTCTGGCTCTAAGATATCAGGTCTCTTTTCCTCAATAATTTCTTTGCTAAGAAAATACCATATAAAACGTGTTGTACAGTATTGTTAAGATGTTGATCTAATATTAACTTCCTTCCTGACTGCTTTCCATTTTTTCATCATTTTTTTAAACTAAATAAAGAGTTTTACCCTAAGTAATCTGTTTCCCACTTTATCAAACTCTGAGTTTTACTGATTTCTAATCATTCTGAATTTCCCTTGATTAATCTGTTCCATTCATTTACCTTTTTTTTTTTTAATTTTATCAATACCACATGGGTTTGATGACCAATGCTGTATGCTATAGTTTGAAGTCTGGAAGTTCCCTTTCCTCTATATTCTCACTTCGTTTCATCATTCCCCTTGATATTATTGTAGCTTTTGTTTTTCCAAATGAATTTTGTTATTTTCTTCAGCCCTGTAAAGTATCTCCTTTATAATTTTGTTATTGTTATTGATGGTGTTCTTCAATCACGTCCAACTCTTTGTGATTCCATTTGGGGTTTTCTTGGCAAAGATATTGGAGTGGTGTTCTTTTTTCTTTCTCCAGATCATTTGTCAGTTGAGGAACCTGGGGCAATCAGAGTTAACTAACCTGCCCAGCATCACACACAGCTAGCAACGTCTGAGCCAAAATTTGAAGGCAGATTTTCCTGACTCCAGGCTCAACATTCCATCCACTGTGCCCGCTAGCTGCCCCCATGTTTTCAGTAGTATAGTATTAAATGTGTAAACATCATTGTTAAATCTCTATTTGAGTTTGAATCTTTTGTTGTCCCTTACCCAATTTCCATTCTTATTTTATTATGGAATGAAAGGATATATTGATAATTTCTGCCTTTTTTTTTTTACATTTGTTTGCAGTGTCTTTATGCCCTAGTCCATAATTAATTTGTGCAAGAATTCCTTGGGGCACAAAGAAACAAATAATGTCATCAGTTCTGATTTTCTTTCTAAAAATATTTGACAATTTTTAAAAATTGTTGAACATCCACTTTTTGTCCCACATTGTAAATTCATATTTGTAGGATATGCCTCCCTGGGCTGGGTACTGTGCCTCACTGCTCTCTGGAATACATTCTTCTACTTCCTTCCTTATTTCTAGTGGGTCCACAATAGTCTTGCATATTTCAGTGTCCTTTCCATTGTATTTGAAAGTTTTCTCCTGATGGCTTCTAGAACTCTCTTAGCCTCAAGGACCTGACAATCTAACAGAGGAAGACAAACATAAAAAATGATGAAAATGGGTTGGAGTGAGAAGGTACCCCAGTTCAGGGGCACAATGGAGCAGTCAGTCAGAGAAGTCTTAAAGATGTTGAGTCAAGGGAGAGATGAAATATCTTTCTCTTTAAATGCAGGTTTGGAGTTCAGAACTCCATCCAGCAGTGGTGAGAGAGGCAACCTTGCAAAAGAAAGAGATTTGGAATAGCTTTTGTTAGGTGTGAGTTAGGGAATCAGAGATCAGTTATCAGTCAATAAGAGTCCTGCTTTCCTGTAATGAAAGCCCACATGGTGAATATTATGCAATGAAGAATTGTGATTCAAGAGACTACAGTTTAAAAAAACAAGAATTATAAATTCTTGGGAATCTTAAATTATAAAAGATCAATGAATACCATAATTCTTCCCAAGTAAAATGATAGAATAAAGGAAGTGAAAGGTGATATATCAGTTAAAAAATTAGACCATGAGTCAGGTGTTTTAAAGAAGAAATCACAATGATAAAAAAGTAAAGGACAATTTTGTACATATGATGAAGAATTGTTCCCAGATATCAGAATCTCTGATAAAGTGAATCATATCCTAGCACATTGGCAAACATACATTGTGCATGGAGCAGATTAGAGTTATAGATGACTGCTCCCAAGTATAAAGGCATTTTCAGATTTAGCCAACCTCTTTTGTATATTGTCCAGTCTCTTGACTTTTGTCCTCCCAAGTTTGCAGAATTCTAGAGATATGTTTAGATATTATACTTCTCTTGAGGAAACTGTCAATATCTTTCCCAAGAATTAGCTGAAATACAACTTACATCAATTACATTTTGCTTTTTTAAAATTTTATTAATTTATTTTGATTTATGAATGATCACTTCCACATGCTTTTGAGTTTGTTTTTCTTCCCCATCCTCCCCACCACCCTCCCCAAGAGGGCGCACAATCTGATATAGGCTATACATTTACATTCCTATTAAACATATTTTCACATTGGTTAAGTTGTAAATAAAAATTATAACCAATAGGAGGAACCATCAGAAAGAGGAAACAAAACTCAACAGAAGAGAAAAAAAATGATAGCGATTCAACTTCCACAGTTCTTTCTTTGGATGTGCATAGCATTTTCTATCACGAGGCCTCTAGGGATGTCTTAGATCCTTCTATTGCCAAGAAGGGTTAAATTTATCAATATTAGTAATTGTACAATGTAGCTGTTATTGTGTACAATGTTCTCTTGGTTCTGCTCACTTCACTCAGCATCAGACCATACAAGACTTTCCAGGTTTTTCTGAAGTCAGCCTGTTCATCATTTCTTATAGCACAATAGTGTTTCATTACATTCATATACCACAACTTGCTCAGCCATTCCCCAATTGATGGGCATCCTCTCAATTTCCAGTTCTTTGCCACCACAGAAAGAGCTGCTATGATATTTTTGTACATGTGGGTCTTTTCCCCATTTGTATGATCTCTTTCGGAGATAGCCCTAGAAGTGTATTGCTGGGTCAAAGGGTATGCAAATTTTTATGGCCCTTCGGGCATAGTTCCAAATTGTTCTCCAAAATGCTTGGATCATTTCACAACTCCACCAACAATGCATTAATGTTCCAATTTTCCCACATCTTCTCCAACGTTTATCATTTTCCTGTTTTGTCATGTTGGCCAATCTGATAGGTGTGATGTGGTACGTCAGAGTTTTGATTTGCATTTCTCTAGTCAATAGTGATTTAGAGCATTTTTTCATATGACTAGATGGCTTTAATTTCTTCATCTGAGAACTGTGTGTTCATATCCTTTCACCATTTATCAATTGGGGAATGGCTTGTAGTCTTATAAATTGTCTTAATTCTCTATATATTTTAGAAATGAGGCCCTTATCAGAGACACTGGTTGTAAAAATTCTTTTCCAATTTTCTACCTTCCTTCTAATCTTAGCTGCATTGACTTTGTTTGTGCAAAAACTTTTCAATTTAATGTAATCAAAATTATCTATTTTGCTTTTTATACTGTTCTCTATCTCCTGTTTGGTCACGAATTCTTCTGTTCTCCATAGATCTGATAGGTAAACTACTCTTTGTTCTTCCAGTTTGCTTATAGTATCAGCCTTTATATCTGAATCATGAACCCATTTTGACTTTATTTTGGTATGTGGTGTGAGATTTGGGTCTATACCTAGTTTCTTCCATACTCTTTTCCAGTTTTCCCAGCAGTTTTTTTTCCAAAGAGTGGGTTCTTATCCCAGAAGCTGGAGTCTTTGGGTTTATCAAATAATACATTACTATAGTCATTGACTACTGTGTCTTGCATATTTAACCTATTCCACTGATCCACCACTCTATTTCTTGGCCAGTAGCAAGCAGTTTTGATGATTGCTGCCACCTTCCCCTGCATTTCTTTTCATTAGTTCCTTTGATATTCTGGACCATTTGTTTTTCCAAATGAATCTTGTTGTTATTTTTTCTGATAAGGAAGAAATTGCATATCAACTTCTCTTTCTCCTCCAGAGATCCTTCTACCTCACAGACAAAACACACACTTTGTCCCAGATTTCACAGAGACACATTGCATAGTAAAACATTTGTCAATGTTATTCCAGTTGATCACATCAAATACTTTTCTCCATATTTCATTGAGCTCTTCATGATAATGGCTTTTAGTGTTGACTCTGATACTCAGCAAGGATATGACTTTTGGCTAAATCCCCTTTCTATGCTTACGTTTCCTCCTCTCACTTAATGAGGGTTAGATTGCATGAATTCTGGAGTCTTTCATTTCTCAGTCTTGTAACATTTGATGGTTTAGGAGTTGGTGACATTCCAGGATGTGGCTGTGGACTTCACCCCAGAAGAGTGGGTCTTCTTAGACCATCCACAGAAGGAGTTGTACAAGGAGGTCATGCTGGAGAATGCCCGGAACCTTCTCTCTCTGGGTAAGGACATTTCCTTTGGCAGTTATGACTCTGCTCTAAAGGGAATATCTTAATTCCTGAGTGTGCTGGCTTTGGAGCAGTTATCAATTAGTAGAAAAGGAAAAGTGCTGGTCTCTTGTGGCAGAAATAATAGACTGGCCAGGAATCAGACTAACTAAGGTTCATTGAGTTCCCTGGCAGGAGAATCTTACTAAAAGAGGCAATGACTCCCTGCATGAGCAGTGACAAGGTTTTTATGGGTTTCTGTGAGTGATGAGCAGGGTAGGGGACAGGGCAATATCTGTTCATCAAGGTCCCTTTTGCTGGAGCTCAAGGCTGATCTGGCACATCCTGTTTTGTGTTCCTTGCATTACAAGCATTAATGGGAGAATAAGCCTGATATGTTAAATGTGATGGAGTGATTCTCAAAGGAGTAGCTTTGTATGTACACTGTTTTTTTTAAAGAGAACTAAATGACAACTTTTTCTGTGTCCTCATCACTGATTCCCCATGCTCAGGGCTTCCAGTTTCCAGAGAATATTGGATTTCTTGTTTTGATGAAAGGAAAGCACCATGGATGCTGGAGCAAGAAGGCCTGAGGAGCTGCTGCCCAGGTGAGTGAGGTGAAAGCAAGTATGGGAGAGCTGTGATTACAAGAGACTTCTAGGTGTTGTGGCAAAGGAAGTGCTAGATTTGGAGGCAGGAACACCTGACTTGGAATTCTTTTTCAGACACTTTTAGAAGGGTGTCCCCGGACAAATCACTGAACCCCACTGAGTCTGTTTCCCCTTGTGTAAAATGAGGATGTTGGACACCATGGCAATTGAGCTCTCTCCCAGTGATAAATGTATGATCCTAAAAATAGTCATTGTTTGGAAGTGCAAAAAGGGGTTAGGCTTTCCAGTGTGGGCTCTTTCTTAGACTTTGTGCAAGTTGATGAACATTTATTGAGTGCTTGCTATGTGCCAGACCTTCTGTTAAGCTCCAGGGAATTAAAGAGATACAAGAAGCATTCCCTGCCTCCTGTAGCTCAAAGGCATGGGGCAGACCACATGCCAACAACAATGTACAAACCTGTTGTGGTCAGGCTAAATTGGAGCTCATTGACAGAGTGAAGGAGGACCAGAAAGGCTTATTGTGGCCAGTGGGCACTAGCTGGGGCTTCAGGGAAGACAGGGCGAGCCTTTGAGGTATGGGGATGTCATTGGAAATCACACAGAATCATGAGATGGAGTGTCCTGTTCATGGGCCTCCTAAGAGAGGCCCAGACCACTGGGTTATAACATGTTTGGTGGGAATACAACGTGAAAGAAAATTAGAGTAGGAGCGGGCTAGGTAAGGGAGGGGTAGGTGATTAATAGCCCTAGAGAGGATCATATATTTGGGCTTTTCCCAGGGAACCACAGGAGGTTGTTGAGTACATGAGGCCATGGTTAGTGAAGAACTTTAGGAAGATGAACTTTGATCAGTGGGTGGAAGCATAACTGGACTGGGGAGAGACTGGAGGCAGCTGGAGCAAGGAGCAGGTTCTTGGAAAAACTGAGCTGTGAGGTGTTTGGGGCTTGGACCAAGACAGTGGCAGTGTTGGGAGAGAAGGGGTGTGTGGGAGAGATGTTACTAAGGTGGAATCAGAGGACTTTGCAGCAGATTGAATGTGGGGGTCAGGAGTGTGTGTGAGGCAGTGAGGAGTGTATGAAACCTCATTTGTAAGCCTACTCTGTTGGGAGGGATGCCTTGCAGAGCATTAGGAAAATAGGAAGATGGGAGGGTTGGGGGAAAGAGAATGAGTTTGGTTTGTGGAACAATGAGAGGAGTGTTACTAAAAGTGTGTGTGTGTGTGCGCGCATGTGTGCGTGTGTGTGTGTGTGTGTGTGAGAGAGTGAGAGAGAGAGATTGAGAAGGGTGATTGACTGTGAAAGGCCGCAGGAAGGCAAGAAGGATGAGGATGAAGATATGGCCAGTGGATTTAGCAAGTTTGAGATTTTTGGTAATTTTGGAGAGAGGAATGTCAGTCGAACAACGACATTGGGAACTAGATTGCAGAGAAAGCAGACAAAAGGAGTTGGAGACATCAGTTGTAAATGGGCATCACCAGTTGTTTAGCCAAGAAATGGAAGAAAGACATTGGAAAATAGCTCTTGGGTGGAATGGATCAGGTGACTGTTTTGAGGAGTAGAGAGAAATGGTTTTATTTGTGGCAGTTGGGAAGGAGTCATTAATGTGGGAGAGACTGGAAAGTATTGAAAAAAGGGGATGCTAGAGTGGCTACATAATGAGGAAGATAATGTCCTGGAATGGGATGATTTACACATGGAAAGGAGTTTGCTTTAGCTAACAGAAAGAGAACCATTTGACCTGATTGTGGTATCAGAAAGGAAAAAAAGGCATTTGAGGGACAGCTACAGGGTGCAGTGGATAGAGCACTGCCCCTGGAATCAGGAGGACCTGAGTTCAAATCTGGCCTGGGATATGTAATAAATACTTCCTAGCTCTGTGAGTCTGAGCAAGTCTCTTAACCCCAATTGCCTCACTAAACAAACAAACAAACAAACAAACAAAAAAAGGCACTTGATTTATGGGGGATGAGAAGGATAAGGTAGCTTTGATAAGTATTCAATTTTTTCAATGAAAATTAGAAGGCAAATTTCTGTGCTTAGAAAGTGAGTGGGGGGTGGACAGTGGAAGAGAGTAATAACGGACAGTTAGGAAAGAGTGAAAAGAATTGGTACAGCTGCTGTGGTGAATGACATAGGGAGTCACTTATGTGGTTTTCAGTCATTTTAGTCATTTCTGAAACTTTATGATCCAATTTGGGGTTTTCTCAGTAAAGAAACCAGAGCAATTTATTGTTTCCTTTTCAGGCCCATTTTATACATGAGGAAACTGAGGTAGACAGGCCTAAGTGACTTGCCCAGGGTCACAGAGCTAGTAAGTGTCTGAGGCTAGATTTAAACTTCGGTCTTTCTAACCAGTACTCTATCTACTGTATCACCTGGCTACCCCAAGAGAGTCAATTAGGGAAATGTCAATGGATAACCTTGCCACAGTGAGGTGCAGAATGAAATGATATACCCTAAATTTGCATGGAACCACGCAGCTTGGTCTTATGATTTTCTCTCTCTCCATTCAGAAGCATCTAAGAAGTAGCAAAGGCCTTATTTAGAATTAATCCAAGGCTGTGCTTTACATAAATCCTCGACATGTGTTCCTCCTCTGGTCCCTAAGGCTCAATCTTTGGCCCATTCTTGGAGAATCGTTGGCCTGATTCATTGAGTTGCCAGCCACTCTCAGTTAGGGAAAGTGGGAAGTAGAAACTCCGAAGTTTCCCATAGGATGAGATACTGAGGGGCCTGCAAAGAAGTCTCTGTGGTCTTCCCTTTGGGTCTGGTCAGGTCCCACCAGGGTTAGAACCAGACAGAGTTCACTCAATATAGGAGATGAGGTACAAGAGAGAGCCAGAAACTGGGCCAAGGACAGAACCTGCATTTACCAAATAAGTCAGGGTCCAGAATTCAAGGGCTGAGGGAGAGGCTGGGGCCTGGTGTCAGCCTCGGGTCCAGTCAGTCAGTCGATAAGCATGGATTGAACCCCTCCAGTTTTCTAGGCACCTCGGTAAGCTTTAGGAAGGGAAAGGCCAGTCTCTGCTGTCAAGGAGTTCCCAATCTGTCATACAAACATGGAGATGGTTTGAGAAGAAGCAATAGATCAGGATCCTTGGTCTCAGCTTATCCTGGGCTAGGAGAGTGTTTGCTAGTTCAGTGGCATGTGAGCAAACTCAAAAAATGGGGCTAGTAATGGTTTAAGAAGGAGAGTAGAATTAGGGAGGAAAGAGTCAAAATCAAAACAAGAATGAGTCACCTCAAAGATAACTGCAGGTTCAGTTCCAGAGCTCTGCAGTAAAGTGAATAGTACAATGAAGTGAATCATCTGAATTTTTGGTTTCTCAGTGCATATCAAAGCTTTGTTTACCACATATTGTTGTCTGTGACGTGTGCAATGCTATTATATCTAAAAAAATGTACATACTATAAAATTTTTTTATTGGCAATAAAAGCCAACTATCATCTGATTCCTCTGACTGATCACAGTGGTGGTTTCTCAAGGTTGGTGGTTTTTGTGGCAATTTCTTACAATAAGGCCACAGTGAAATTTTCCAGTGATTGTCTCTTCTTCTCCCTTGAACTTAAAGCCCCATTGTAGGGATATTAATTGGTCCAATCTCAATATTGCTGTGGCCCAAGGAATAGGAAGATTCAAAGAGAGGGAGAGAACAAGTCAACTTGCAGTAATAAAATAATTTTCTTAAAAAAAAAAGTAAATGTAATGGAGAAAGGCTTTGTAGCTCTGGGGACAGAACATGGCCACTTGCAGGGTTGGAGTTCTAGTCTCAGCTGCAGAGATGTAGGTCAGGTCACTCAGCGATTCTGAGCTTGTGGCCTGACTTGAGGATGTAGTAAGAAAGCCCTGGGTCTGCCAGTGTCACAAGTGTTTGAGGATCCAATGTGTTTGTGTGTGAAGCTCTTTGTAAGTCAAATTGTCCTGCAGATGTGACCTAGTGGCATTTTCAAATGATTGATTCTGTCCATTTAACTTTGCAGACTGTTCTCTTAGCCTGGGGAAGTAGGATACAGATCAGTTAGTTTACTTTGTCTAAATGGCGGGAAGGGATTATGATTATGTATGGGTGTACATGTGTCTGCATGTGCATTTTGTTGTTTGTTTCTTGCAGAAGGAGAGATTAGACCTGAAATGAAAGAGAGTACTGAAAAGCTAAGCATTTCTGTGAAAGAGACTCACCAGGAAAGCTTCATGAGTGATGGTCCTTGTGACTTCACTGAGAAACAAATCTGTCCTGTATTGCAGAGATTCCACACAGGAGAGCAACCTTATGATCATCATCCTTGTGGGAAAGACTTGAGTCAACAGTCATCTCTTATTTCCCATCAAAAACTTCATACTGTAGAGAAACCACATGAATGTCATGAATATGGTGAAACTGTTACTGAACATTCATCCTACAGTATTCACAGTAACAGGAAACCTCATGAATGTAATGAGTATGGAAAGGCATGGAGTTGCAGCTCCAGTGTTGCTGTACCTCAGATCATCCACACTAGAGAGAAACCTTACGAATGTGATAAATGTGGAAAGACCTTCACACAGAGCTCTAGTCTTGGTCGACATCAGAGAATCCACACTGGAGAAAAACCTTATGAATGTAACCATTGTGGAAAGGCTTTCAGAGAGAACTCCAAACTTGCTGTACATGAGAGAATCCATACTGGAGAGAAACCCTTTGAATGTAACCATTGTGAAAAGGCTTTTAGAAGCACCTCTGAACTTGCTGCACATCAGAGAATCCACACTGGGAAGAAACCTTATGAGTGTAATGAATGTGGAAAGGCTTTCAGACTAAACTCCCAACTTGCTCTACATCAGAAAATTCACACAGGGGAAAAACCTTATGAATGTAATCATTGTGGAAAAGCTTTTAGAAGTACCTCTGATCGTTCTGTACATGAGAGAATCCACACTGGGGAGAAACCTTATGAATGTAATCATTGTGGAAAGACTTTTAGAGTGAAATCCAATCTTGCTCAACATCAGAGAATCCACACTGGGGAGAAACCTTATGAATGTAATCAATGTGGAAAGGCTTTTCGGCTGAATTGTAAACTTACTAAACATCAGAAAATCCACACGGGAGAGAAACCTTATGAATGTAATCAATGTGGAAAGGCCCTCTGTTCAAGTTCCAGTCTTGCTTCACACCAGAGAATTCACACTGGAGACAAACCTTATAGATGTGATCAATGTGGAAAGGCTTTCATACAGAGGTCATTTCTTGTTGCACACCAGAGAATCCACACTGGTGAGAAACCTTATGAATGTAATCATTGTAGAAAGGCTTTTAGAAGTAACTCTGTTCTTTCTGTACATCAGAGAATCCACACTGGGGAGAAACCTTATGAATGTAGTCAATGTGGAAAGGCTTTCAGAGAGAAGTACAAACTTGCTCAACATCAGAGAATCCACACTGGAGCGAAACCTTATGAATGTAGTCAATGTGGAAAGGCTTTCAGACAAAACTCCCAACTTGCGCAACATCAGAGTATCCACACTGGAGTGAAACCTTATGAATGTAATCAATGTGGAAAGGCTTTTAGACTAAATTCCCAACTTGCTCTACATCAGAGAATTCACAATGGAGAGAAACCTTATCAACGTGCTCACTGTGGAAAGGCTTTCACACAGAGCTTATTTCTTGCTGCACATCAGAGAATCCACATTGGAGAGAAACCATATGAATGTAATCAATGTGGAAAGGCTTTTAAAAGTACCTCTGGACTTTACGTACATCAGAGAATTCACACCAGGGAGAAACCTTATGAATGTAATGAATGTAGAAAGGCTTTCAGACTTAACTCCCAACTTGCTCTACATCAGAAAATTCACACTGGAGAGAAACCTTATCAATGTGATCAGTGTGGAAAGGCTTTCACACAGAGCTCATTTCTTGCTGCTCATCAGAGAATCCACACTGGGGAGAAACCTTATGAATGTAATCATTGTGGAAAGGCTTTTAGAAATACCTCTGATCGTTCTGTACATCAGAGAATCCACACTGGGGAGAAACCTTATAAATGTAATCATTGTGGAAAGGCTTTCAGAGCGAATTCCAATCTTGCTCAACATCAGAGAATCCACACTGGGGAGAAACCTTATGAATGTAATCAATGTGGAAAGGTTTTTAGACTGAAGTGTAAACTTACTAAACATCAGAGAATCCACACTGGAGAGAAACCTTATGAATGTAGTCAATGTGGAAAGGCTTTCAGAGAGAAATGTAAGCTTGTTGCACATCAGAGAATCCACAGTGGAGAGAAAACTTATCAATGTAATCAATGTGGAAAGATTCTCTGTTCCAACTCCAGTCTTGCTCGACATCAGATAATCCACACTGGAGAGAAACCTTATGAATGTAATCAGTGTGGAAAGGTTTTTAGCCTAAATTGTAAACTTACTAAACATCAGAGAATCCACACTGGAGAGAAACCTTATGAATGTAGTGAATGTGGAAGGGCTTTCAGAGAGAAATGTAAACTTGCTGCACATCAGAGAATCCACAGTGGAGAGAAAACTTATCAATGTAATCAATGTGGAAAGGTTCTCTGTTCCAGCTCCAGTCTTGCTCGACATCGGAGAATTCACACTGGAGAGAAACCTTATGAATGTAATCAGTGTGGAAAGGCTTTCGGACAAAACTCCCAACTTGTGCTACATCAGAAAGTTCATCATTGAAAGAAACCTAATGTGATAAAACTTTTTTATGTACACTGTAACCTTACTATACAAATCTGATGAAAGAAAAGACCAAGAGAAATAGTTTCTGCATAATCATTTCATTAATTATGGCTAATGAATAATTAATAAAAGGATCATCATTTAGCTATCTTTTGTAAACTAAAGAGTAATCATGGAGGTATATCAACACTCAGAGAAGTGGGTGTTACTAAGTGACATAAATCAGCTCTGATTAAAAATTGATGAGACTGAATATCATAATGTGAGGTGAACTTATTCTTTTTTTGAAAATTAGTTTATTTTGAATTATCAACAATCACTTCCATAAGCTTTTGAGTTTTAAATTCTTCTCCGCCTTTGTCCCCAGCTCCCTCCCCATGACTGCACATAATCTGTTATATGCTGTACTTATACATTCTTATTAAACATTTTCACATTACTGATGTTATAAGTAAGAATTAGAACCAATAGTATGAACCACCAGAAAGAGGAAACAAAACACAAGGAATAAAATAGCAATTAGTATGCTTCAATCTGCATTCAAACTCCATGGTTCTTTGGATGTGGATAACATTTTTCATCATGAGGCCTTTGGAGATGTCTCAGATCCTTGTATTGCTGAGAAGGGTGAAGTCTATCAATATTAGTCATCACAAAATGTGGCTGTTACTGCGTACAACGTTCTCCTATCCTGCTCATTTCACTGACCATCAGAGCATATATGTCTTTCCAGGTTTTTCTGAAATCAGTCTGTTCGTCATTTCTTGTAGCACAATAGTATTCCATTACATTTGTATACCGCAACTTGTTCAGCAAATTCCCTAATTGATGGGCACCCTCTCAATTTCTAAGTCTTTATCACCACAAAAATAGCTGTTACAAATATTTTTGTACATCTGGGTCTTTTCCCATTTGTATGATCTCTTTGGGATATAGCCCTAGAAGTGTATTGCTGGGTCAAAGGGTATGCACATTTTTATAGCACTTTGGGCATAGTTCCAAATTGCTGTCCAAAATGGTTGGGTCATTTCACAACTCCACCAGCAATGCGTTAGTGTTCCAATTTTCCCCACATCTTCTCCAACATTTTATCATTTTCCTGTTTTGTCATGTTGACCAATCTGATAGGTGTGATATGGTGCCTCAGAGTTGTTTTGATTTGCATTTCTGTAGTCAATAGTGATTTAGATTATTTTTTCATATGACTATAGATGGCTTTAATTTCTTCTTCTGAGAACTACCTGTTCATATCTTTTGACCAAGAGGTGACCTTATTCTAATGCGGGGCAGGGGGACATTACTCATCACTGAATTATGGGCCAAGAAACTTAACTCTAACTAGACTATCCTTGCCTAAAGGAATCTGGACCAAAGAGGGCACCTACTTCCCCTCAGACCTGTCTGACTAAAGCAGATTGGGCCAGGATTCACCCTTGTCTTTACCTTTTGGTCAGATCTAAACTTTCGCAGTTGGCTGAGTCTTGGACAAGATTTCATCTCATCAGCCCTGCCCTTCAAAGACTGTCTGAATCACCTATAGGGGCTGATTTCTGAATGAGGAAATAGAAAGGGGGGGGAAGCTTACTTCTAATTCGAAAATTGGTTATTAATATGAGAGAAATGACCATTTCTCTCACATCAGAGAATCCATTCTAGAGGACATACCTCATTAATGTAATCAACATGAAAAGTGTTCAGGTTAAAGTCATCCCTCATTTCCCATCAGAATTCATATGAGATAGAAACCATATTCCCATAATGTGTGTAGAAAGATTCCAATGGACTATAGAGCTTGTTAGACATCAGAAATTTCACCTTGTGAACAACCCCTGTCCGGACTCATTTGCAAAGGTCTGCAGCCAGAAAACATCTCTTTGTTTCCATCAAGGACTCTTCATGGAGATCAGACATTAATGTGCTCAATAAGGACCTGCCTTTTCTTGGAAGATGCAGGTCACTGGACACCACAATATTCACACCGGAAAGAAGCCTTATGAAAGTTGTAATTGTGGGAAGGCCTTCAGCTGGAGGTAATATATGTGTGTACAGGTACAAAATATATAGATGAAACTTACGAATCTAAGTAATGAGGGCTGACATATCCCTGCAGCACAGCCTCGTGAGACAGCACAAATCTCCTACAGTGCATAAAACCTTGAAAATGGGTTGAATTTTGCTCTTTAATCCCAAGGTTTCTCCTGATTCCCTTGATATATTCCATGCCCCCCCTAAGGTTGAAGTCTGCCTCTGGCTTGCTCACTTAACTGCACTGCAGTTGCATCCCTCTGCAGTGAGACAGACCTTTCCAGCTCACCCCTGAAGCTGTCCTAGGTTGTTAATCTGCTTTACTGCATCAAAATTGGTTTTCAGGCATCATTGCAAGGTTCTTTAGAAGGGAATTTGGAAGAGCCCAGGCAAGTCACTGCATCATTTTGCCATCATGGCTCCTGAAGTCCTTATGCCCATTTTTCTAGGAAATACTCCCCTGATAGTTTAGATTTTCTTGAAAAGATCTCTTGTCCTTCCTATTCAGTTGTTTTCTATTTTTTTGCATTGCTCATTTAAGAAAACTTTCCCATCTTTCCTCGCTATTCTGGAATTCTGAATTCGTTTGGGTATATCTTCACCCATTCTTTTACCCTTTCCATAGCTATTTGTTTTTCTTTTCTTTTTTTCTTTTTTTTAGGCAATTGAGGTTAGATGACTTGCCCGGGGTCACACTGCCAGTAAGTGTCAAGTGTTTCGTCTGAGGCCGGATTTGAACTCTGGTCTTCCTGACTCCTTGGCTGGTGCTCTATCCACTGGACCACCTACCTGCTCCTCCACTGCTATTTGTAAAGCATCATCAGACAGCCATTTTGCTTCCTTGTCCTTCTTTTTCTTTGGAATACATGTAGTTGCTTCCTCCTGTACAATATTAAGAACCTCTGTCCATAGTTCTTCAGGCACTCTATCTACTAGATCTTCTCCCGTAAATTTGTACATCACTTCCATTTCCCATTCATAAGCAATGCTATGTAGGTCATATCTGTAGGGTGTAATGGGTTTCCCCTATTTTCTTCAATTTGGGCCTGAATTTTGCAATAAGAACCTCATGATCTGAGCCTCAATCAGCTCCAGGTCTTGCTTTGACTGACTGTATAGAACTTTGACACCTCTACCTTTTTTCCACTAGGTAATGTTTTAGGTTTTCATAGAACTGAGCAACTTTGTGCTCTTTGGAATCAGTGACTAGAAGATAGGCTTGTTACTGTGATGTTGAATGATTTGCCTTGGATTTGAACAGTACTTGACTATACATAGGAAAAACCTTGCTTGAGATCCATTCCGTGTAGAGTATTAAAATCATAGCTAGAAAAAGTGATGTCTTCTGTAAGATAATTTGGAAGATATATTCAACTCAATTGATGTCATTTGATTGGCAACAAGATTTTGTTTTAAATCTGTCTTGTCAAAAGATTTGTTTCAAATCTGTAATATTGCTTTTGTTATTATGCTTCAAAATTTTATTGTGGTTTTGCAGAATTGTTTGATAAAAAATGTTAATTTTAAACGTGATACCTAGAAGGTGATGCATTTGTATACTTAGAAAATCAATTTCTCTTCTGATCTCGATGCTGTGAAATGATGAACTAAACTGTCAGAAAATGTGGGAGAATGTGGTTACAATGTTTAACTGCTAGGTATATCATTGGCTATATTTGACTTTAAAAAGAATAAAAACAGTAAGTTACCTTTTAGGAAAAGTAGAAAATACTTACAAATTCTCCCAGCTCTTTGGGGTCTAACCAAATGCTTTGTGACCTTATCTTTGGGCAAGGTCAGAAAATCTTACCAGCCCTGGGAAAGAAGTTGCTTAAAGAAGAGGTTGTCTAATTCAAAAGTAATGGAGTGCTTTACTGCATAATTAAGACCTCTAACAACCAAAGTAGAGTTTGGGGGGGGGGCAGCTTGCATGTATGTTTATACTATCCAAGTTTTGTGATAATTTGTCTAGCCACTGATTATTGAAATGATGAAATTCCTCTTAGAGTAATATGTATGGTAATTACATCTTTGAACCACCTCTGGCTCAGCAGACTGCAGCTTAGATTCAAAATGGGACACCTTCCTTGAGTAAAACTGATAGATTCAATTGTGTGATAGTTCTAATTTTTGAAATATTCTCCTTATGAAGAGTCCATCTGCACTTTTCCCTCATGCTAATAATTAGGATTTTGTTGTTCCAACAAACTTCCACTCACAGATTGCTGTTTGTCCTTCCTTCTCAAAGAGAACCAGTGACATCAAGATGGGGATGTCTTGACTTGCAAATGAATTGGACTTAGGCAAGGCAAGGCTGTGTAAAGTCACTCTGTCCTCCAGAGCTATCTGGGTCCAGTGACAAGATCTAGATCAGGAAGACTCAAGATGGACTTAGATGCAGTGGGAGACCTTGGCCTTTTTAAACTAAGGTCTTTCCCAGGTTTCAGTTTGTCTGAAGCAGCATCCATGATGATTGCAGCATTTTTCCAATCAGTTCAATTGGATTCAAAAGCTTTCATTGAGCAGTTGCTATGTACCAGGCACCAGGGGAGATGGACTGAGACTCCATTTTATCAAATCAACCAAACTGGACTAACCTTGAGGAATTCCATCATTGCTTGGCAATGGCTTGGGCAAATTCTGGGAGAGCCTGTATTGTGGAATGGCTTCAGACTCCCATCCTGGCCCCTGAAAGAGCCTCCAAGTATCACAACCACTGATGGGCACAGATCCTTAATGGGGGGGGGGGCTCAAAGATCCTCCCAAATTCCTGTAACTTATCTCTGGACATGGCCCCTGATTTCCTGATAAGTAGTGCTAGCTCTAGCTAGTTGGGAACACTCCTCCAAACACAACTTTAGTTTTATGTATTTTTTAGCTGTATTTCAAATATTTGGAAGGAAGGTAAATCTAGCTTGAGAATCTGGAGAAAACCTTCAGTTCAAGAATCCAGGCAGAGTGAGGAAGGACAGAACCAGTTTCAAAGAAGACAGATTAAAAACAAACTAATAAACATTCAGGTCCAGACTGCAGCTTCCTGAGTCTGCTGGCCATACTCAGTCCTCCACTGGAGGACTTGGAGATTGGCTCTGCTCTGGCTCTTGGTCACATGATATCCCTGAAGCTCCTTGTTGGAGGGTGGAGGGAGCCATATTGTGGGGAATGTTAAATGCCAGGGTGAGGATTTTGTGTTTTATCATAGACTTAACCGGAAGAGAGGTTTAATGGTCTGA